CGCCCGGCGGGGCCGCGGGCCGCCGCGGAGCGTTACGCGGGTGAGCGTACAGGATGCCCCGGTTCTTGCAGCGGGGCCAGGCCCTCCGTGAGGTAGCGGGCGTCCGTCGGTGTATCCGCAGGTGCCCCCTTTATGTGTAGCTGAACGCTAGGGAAGGAGACCGTATTGCGGGGCCTCTGGGGGAGGGAGTTTTTTTCCTTGTGGTGTCTTGGGATGACTTTCTGATGCTTGGGTTTGAGAGAGTTTCTCACCCTTAGCATCCTTAGGGTAGGAGTTGTTACTGCTCCAAGCGTTAGCGGGCGTCCGTCGGTGTATCCGCAGGTGCCCCCTTTATGTGTAGCTGAACGCTAGGGAAGGAGACCGTATTGCGGGGCCTCTGGGGGAGGGAGTTTTTTTCCTTGTGGTGTCTTGGGATGACTTTCTGATGCTTGGGTTTGAGAGAGTTTCTCACCCTTAGCATCCTTAGGGTAGGAGTTGTTACTGCTCCAAGCGTAGCGGTGTTTTCTGCAGGTTTTTAGGCTGAAGTCTCTTGCCGTTGTATCTTAATTGCCCAAATTTGTGTTGGCAGATGTGACTCCAGTTGTTATGCTTTCCCTACGTACAGGGAGAGAAGGTATCCAGTAATCTGGATCTAACTCACTGAGAACTGTCAAGATGAACACCATGACCTTGAAGTGGATCTGGTATTTAACAAGGAACTGGACTGCTACGTGAGGCCCTGGAGTGACAGTGTCAAACATCAGTGTTGCTGATTCAATTGGCTGCTGAGCTCGGGATCCCTGTTGTTTCCTGGGGTGATTTGTGTACTTGTTTGCTGGTGCGGTGTTTCTGAGCGGTCCAGACTAGCTGTATAGTAAATTGTTTGCTCCGTGGCTTTGAATTTCCTTAGACTTCCTAGGAGCAAGTGTAGGTAATTTGATTGACAGAAGAGAAGGTTTCTTGCTTTTACTGTACACTGGAGTTTCTTTATATTTTACTTATTGTCACTGAAAATGCTGCCTTTTAACAATGAACTTCCTTAGCAAATCACAGTGGAGATTTTGAGCATAAGATAACTTTTATCTTTTTGTTTGTGTGACTGAAATTTAATCTCTTGTTGTACGTGAGATGAGGTATGCTACTTGCTATCTTCGCGCTAATGCTTAGGGGTGCTGTGCCCATATAGGTGCTGTGACTAAAGAGTAGGGTGCATCAGTACTGTTTCAGTGGTCACTAGCGCATTTCAGTCTACTAGCTTCTTTTGAGACTATTTCTCAGTATTATAGGGGATTTCTTTTAGGACTCTTATGTACCTGTGGTCATCCAGCTTGTAACAAGCGCTCTCATGCTGATGCATCTGAGATTCGAGATCAGAAACTTTTGAGATGTGATGTTTACTGGTTTATGTCATGTTCACCCAAGTTACTTTTGCGTTCTGCATGCTTTTGCATGCTTTGTGATAGATCGTATTCGTTCGGGGAAGGGTAGAGTTCATCTTCTCTGTCTGAAGAAAAAAATCCTGGGAGATTATCATCCCCTTGCAGGTCAGTTTTTATCAAGATCAGTCTCCGGCATACCTGCCTCATCTATTTTCTTGGGATAGTTAGCACGAGGAAAGTCAGATCTCTATCAGTGTTCTGGGGCCTCTCAAATAAAGTGTATTTGGTGTAAGAAATCTATTTCAACAGCTCACTGATATCAGTCCTGGGAAGTGTCCCCTTCCCCCCCCAGGCCATGTACTTATTCCCCTGTGCCATAACCCCAGCGTTTTTTTGGTGCCAGTGAAAGTCCAGTGGTGCAGCCAAGTGTATCTCTGCACTGCAACAGCTCTCCTCTAAAGGAGGCTCTTGGTACTCAAATGTTTTCCAGAGCAGGAGCGATCAAACGTATTCAGGAAGAGCTGTTCCCCTCTTTCTTATTTATCTTTGGCCTTGGAATCCCTTCATGCTGTTTCTTGCCTTCTCTTATAGAAAGATTGCCACATCACTTTGTAGCCCACTAGGTAGCCCGCTGCTCTCTGACAGGTCTTGCAGTGGGCTCTCCTTTCCAGTTGTCCTCTCAGTTTTCTACCTTGGTCTTGTGTATGTGTGTGTGAGGTCCAGATAAATTCTGCAGGAATGGCTGTCCTTCCTGGGAAGGACCTAGGTAAGGTTTATCTGCCAGAGCTCCGTGCTGACCTTCCAGTAACATTGGTTCACTTTTAAAACAGTCAATGGAGCAGAAGACAGAAAATAGGGCCTCACAGGGGAATATGTTTCTCCAGAATCTGCATGGGCTTTGTAAATTATTCCTTCATTTTTTAGGCTTTATTGTGTTTGTTGGCATCTCCTCCTCTGAATGTTGCAAGCCATAGCCCAAGATTTGCTGGTGTGATTGCAGAAGCATTAGCTGTTGAGCTGTCCATTGTACAAAACGAAGTTTAAGCTCGGCTGATTTACTGAAGAAAATACAGAATAGGCACAGCTAGTGCTTCCCTCCTCTCCTCCTTCCAAAAAAAAAAAACAAAACCAAAGAGTAGTTATTTACTTCCCCTGAAACCTCCTGAAACATCTTTTTGAGACACGATCCTATTGGAATAAATGTTAAGATTGCTTGGGGGAGGGAGAACTGAGAAAGGCCAGCTATGAGGCTTTCCTCCCTAGAGCAGAGGAAAAATATGAGAATCTATTGCATATTTATTGAGGCCTTAGGAAAGAGAGGTGGGAGGTGAGGGAGACTGTGATTTGTGTTATGCCCTTGATCCCTCATTGAGACCCCCGTGACTGTAAGTCTCACCAGCTGCAACCTGGGCCATGGCAGTCCTCGTCCAGGTCATGCAAGACTAACTCTTGATGTTTTCCGCAACAGGGGCTGCAAATAGCCTATGTACCACCACACTGTTGAGACCCATGACTGTTAATCCAGAAAATGTGGGAAATCATCTAACATTAACAGTCCAATCTGGAGCTCAATGTGTATTGAGTGTTGTTTGACAGATGAGCTATTCAGCTTCTTGGAGAACAGCAGATAAGTCAGTATATTGGGCTTAAAGGAAAAAAATCACTAGAGCAGCTTTTTTGATCAGACTTGCAATTCCTTTTTGCATTACCCAATTTCATATTGTTTTCCATTCAGTCGTCTTCACTCCTCAAGAACCATTTATGTGGGAAGGGGTCTTTTTTGTAGTTGAGAAAGGAGATGTTGGCAATCTGATGGACTGTGGATGTGGTCAAGTAAGATGTGCTTGGAAACCCTTTCCTTTTTGTGTCAAGCTTGGTCATCTTTCATTTGCTGAATGATATGAAAGGAACAAACTGCAGATCATGGGCTGGCACATGACACTCCAGGCATATGGGTACAACAATGAGCAGAGATAATGCTTGTGATTGCAGATTTTTTTTCCTGCAGAGGAATTGGGCAGTCCAGCCATGAAAAGTGGTTCAGTTTCAGCCATGAGAGATGGAAGTACGGTGGGCTAGATTTCTTACCATCCATGGGACTAGAAGTGTTACCAGACTCACCATCAGTCCAGAAGCTATACGATCAGATATAGAAAGATAGTTAGCGAAACAGGTAAGTTGATCTCTAGTGAAAAGAGCTCGATTATAGGGCTGTAAACCTAACTGGTCAAGCCAAACGTCCATATTGCTCCAGTCCTTTTTCTAACAGTGACCAAGCAATGATGCTTAAGGAAAGATTAAGAGGACATACATAGCATAATTTCTTTAGTCATGCCCCTCTTGTTTTTGTAGTCTGAATCTTTTCAATCTTTTTATTTGTTGGCCTGAATAACTTTCTATGTATACGCAAGGTTTATCATTCCGTTGGCAATAGCACTCTTGCAAAACTTAACTATGTGTTCCTGTTCGTCTTCCCCTCTTTTAACTGGTTATTTGTCTGAGAGAAAGTTTGATTTTTATCTTGTGACCTATTAATATTTAAGGGCCTTTGCTCTGGTACGACACCAGAAGATTTTGGCTATCTAGATGCACTGTTTATTAGTGGGATGACCCTTATCTGCCTGCTTATTGAATCTTCCTAAAAACACTCAGTCCTTCCTAATAGGTCTATGAAGCATGACTTCTCCCATCTGTCTGCCGGTTTTATTTTTAATTTTCATATCTCTGCAAAAGTCTGGTGCAAAAGTAAGACTTTCCGATTTTTCCAGTTCATCTGCAGAGCTCTTTAAAATAGCAATAAGGAGAAAATCCTTTGCATCTTCCCTTATCTTTTCTCCGTGCAGTTGTTCTATTCCTTGTTCATCTGCCATCTAGTAGACTCTCTGACTGATCTAGTAATCTGGTATGTGTGAAAAAACATGTAGTTTTTCATCTTGAGCGATTTGCTCCATCTCTTTATTTTTTCTTGATGATTTTATATGTAAGTTGGAAGAACTTGTGCTGTTTTCTGTTTTCTTCTTTTGCGTGCATCTTCTATTTTAAAAATACTTTTGTTTGTACAAGAACTCAATTAGAATTAAAATCAAGCAATCTAAAAGGACCAAAGAGAAGTTGACCCGGCTAAAGATAGGTCTTTTTGATAGGTGGTGTACTTGTGCTCTGACTCGATGAAGTAGAGAGCCTAAGCAATAGCTTTGCCCCTGGCAAGCAGCTTGTTCTCGTGGCTGCTCTTTTTAATGTCTTTTATATAGTACTTAACTATCAGTGCTGTAGCAGATTTTTCTTGTCCCAAAAAAGATTCTGAGTTTGAGGATATTGTTGTTAATATTACAGAGTGCTTCTCAGTAATATTTTGAACCCGGTCCCGTGCACTCCTAAAGAAGTCAGGTATTGCTTTTTCTTTCAAAACTTTATGACTAGCTGCTTCTAGTTACTGTTTAAAATATCATCTTGGTCATGTGTCCTGATCTCCATGAGAAAACTGAAGTTACCCCCTGTTGCCCATTTTGTAACCTCACAGCCTGTCTGTTCTCTCTCAGTAAATCACGGTTGCTGTACTGTTCTGGTCAGATGGTCGATGGTGTAGCTCTGTTACTACGTTTTTCCACTTAGGTTGATACAATTCATTTATCTATCTTATTTGAGTCTTTTTTTTTTTTTTCTTCAGTATGTAGTGCTATTCCTCCACTTGTTTGAACTGGTCTTCTATGTACCTTGTACGCTGGAGTGCCAAAGAATGCAATCCTTCTATCAAGTTCCTGAGGTACCTATTGCTTAAATATTCTTATTGAATCTGTGTATTCTAGTTCACTCATCTTACTTCTGAGACTTATTTCTGTACAAACATGCAGGCATGTCTGCATTTTTTTTCATTTTGGGGGGTCCCATTTAAATACCACATACCACTGAAAGTGCTTTTGGCTTTTTTTTTTCCTTCTAAAATTCTGTCCAAATTTTTTTTTCCTATCCTGCATCAGAAATTACAGAATTTGGGATTTCATCCAGGTTATCATTCTTGGCCTTTAGATCACTGGAAACCATATGGAGCATGCTTACCAGCTGCTCCTTAGTTCAGTATAAAAATGGTTGGGCTGGATTAGACCACAAAGCGCGTTATCCCGTCTATGACTGTGACCACTGTTGGATGCCTGGGGGAAGCGTGAGATCAGAGCCAGTGGGGCAGTACCATTTTCCAGGAGTCCTTTCTCAGCTCCCAGCCATTTTCAGTTCAGTGATTGAATTGCCAGAGATTTTTGCCTTTGTAGTCAGTTGTCCTCCTTTGGTTGCTCCGGGGGGCGGGGGGATGTTTGGTTGTTTGTTTTTCTCCTATGAACTTGTGCAGTTGCTTTTTGACCCATTGTAAACCTCCATAGTGTCGAGGAGCAGGGCATTGCACAGCTGTACTGTGGTTTGCATTTGTTTCAAACCTGCCACCCACTAGAGTTCCCGGGTGCCATTTGTTTAATGCATTGGAAGAAGCAATGAGCAGTCATTTCTTGTTCGTCTTCTGCATGCTGAACTTAGTTGAGGTGGGATACAACTGAGGTCTATGCAACCAGTTCTTCTTGAGAATCTGTCTTCCAGTATCCTCCATGCCACTTTCGTACCTGATTAGCAGGTCTCCATGCTGTCCTCTCACCTCACAAACTCGGCTTTCTAAATGTCTGTTTACTAAGCCGTCTCTGCAGCCTTCCTCTTCCTCCCTTCTCCCAAGTTGGTATTCTTGGTGCTAGAGTATGGCTTCCCACCCTCTGGTGAGATGGTTTCACCAACAGGACTATCGCTAGTCAGCTTAAAGGCCTATTGCCACATGATGTTTTCCCCTCCCTGGCATCACTGCTAGTAGGAATATAACTGAAATTCCTCTTCCTGACTCCCCAACCCCCTGAACTGTTGCAATCCACCCATCCCTAACCTGAAAAAGCAATGCTTTGTTTCTGAGGACTGAGGCGCATGTGTGCATGGATGTCTGTTCAGAGGTACGTAGCTGTACGTGCAGCATTTGAAGTAGACTGTAACTGTCTCACCTTTCTGCTGGACTGCTGCCTGCTTTTCAGCTTCACTCTAGACCTTTTTAGAGGTAATGGGGCCTGGAAGGGAAAAATAACGGGTAGTTAATTCTATTGTTTCCCTCTTTTCTTAGCATAACTTTTTTTTTTTTTTTATAGTTCACTTCTGGAGTTAGGGACTGGAAACTCCATAGTCTTGTTGACCTATAGGCAAACCATCCTTTAAATTCTTGGCGCTTGCTCTGCTCACTCAAATAAGGGGATTGTATAGCTGTATAGTTTTTAGCTTCATGTAGGTGTCAGGCCAATGTTCCTTCTACCTGGATGCTTCATTAAATTGCATGTTTTACTTCCCTCGTTTTATGAAGGGGAGAGAGTTGTTTGTCACTGTGTGAAATAACTCATTCAGAAAATAGGAGTCACCTGTGGGACAGCATTGTGTTATGAGATTTAGAACTCTCTAATTACATGTCTTTAATTATTTAAATAGCATCTAGGTGCTTTAGGTTCTAAAATTTACTAGTTTAGGGTTTATGAAGTAAGTTATCAAAACTAACTGATTCCTTTAAATTTTGCTTTCCTTGAAAAGAAAAGTTGGCTTCAGGCAGAGTTACTCCACTGCTTTGAAACAGAAGCGGCTGCATCCTGTGATCTCGTGGAAGGCTGAGGGCTTCCTGCTATCAAGAGAGACGTGGAGTGCAGCTTGACAGAAGCTGAAATGGATCTGAGGTACTGCTCCTTCATTATGCCGGCAGTTGCATTTAACTAATCCTACAATGGATCAGTTAAAGGAGCTTTAAGCCGAGGAGATAACCATAATGATAAGGAAGAGGAATAGACTTTCTACTGGGACAGGCCACTGAACTTGTTCATGGTGCAGTCGTGGGTGCAGGAGCTCATAAGTGGCAGGAGAGAGGCAAACCGTTTCTCTTCATTGCAAGTAGTTTTTAGATTGGCTAACCAGGAACCTGAAGCTGTGGATCCAGGATCAACATATGTTTGTAGACCTCATGGATGAGGGACTGTAGGTAATGCAGTGTACTGCTGTGCCACCGATTCTCAGCTGTCTTTCATTAGTATCTAAGAACCATCCTCCCCCTGCAAAAAAGTAGAATTTATAGCAGCTAAAGCACGTCTTTTGAAAGGTGTCCAGCCTTGATCTGGAAAGAACAAGAGATCTAGAATGCAGCCGTCTCCCTTGTTCTAGGTGTTTTCTGTAAGGAAAAGAAAACTGCTGTGAAAAACAAACTGGAATCGTCTAGCTTCAACTTCCAGCAGAAGATGAGCCAGACAGGGGGAGCCCTTTAGTTTCTTAAATTTTCGCCATAGGGAGCTACACTAAATTAATTTGCCTCCCATTTGCCTTTCAGATGAGATACATACACTTTAAAGAGTTAAGCTTTTTAAATGGCTAGAAAGTCATTTTTCAGCCTTTCAGTGACCATTAGATAGATGTGTATAATGCTGGCATTGTTCAGTATTTCCACTCTCTGTCTCACCAGCAGTAGGCAAGGGGCAAGGACAGAATCACCTTCCTTTTCTCTGCTTGAATCTGTAGCAATGCTGTGCCTGTGGGCATGACCTATATGCCTTGTTCCTAGATGTCTGAGCTTGAGTTTGGTTGTATTGAGAGGCGTTTTGGGTAAGATGCGCTTTTTGTTTTTTGCTTGACTCTTGTTTTTTCTTGACTCTGCTTCTTGTATCTAGAGAGACTGAGGATAGTGTACTTGTATTAAGCAAAGATGAAGCTTAAGGGCCTTTGTCTTTTGAGCTAAGAGGAAAAAAGGGGTAAAAGGTGCAAATTCAAAGTGCAAGTAGTCAAGTGTTTTCTCACTCTTACGGTAGCTGGTACAAGGGAAATAACAGGAGGGATTTGGGTTCTAAGCCTCAGGGCTATCTGATTGCTTTGGTCTTTGCAGCCTATTTTCAAGTTTTCTGCCAACACAGAAGCTGCTATTTTTAGTGCAGTTGCTGTTTTTTGCCAAACTTTTTTTTTTTTTTTTTTTTTGCTGTTGCTCTGTGTTTCTCACTGTGATGAAATGATTTCTCTTCCCCCAGACCCTGACCTCCCCACCCTGACCAGCTGAGGCTGGATTTGAAGTAGCACTTGTTCTGTCTGTAGAGTGTCATTAAAAATGTTCTCTGGTAGCCAGCTTACTCTACGCACTCTATGCTCAACATGCCAATTACCCTTTTCAGGTTGAGATCAGTGTGAAAAATTGTGAGCCCTTGCCAACTCAGGTACCTAATGTAGTTTTCCATAAGTTTAATACAGTTATGAACAGTATTGAAACTTTATGTCATATTTTCATGTAAAAAAAAAAAATCTCACTTTAGATAGCAATAGCATTTGATTTATGCTGCTTTTTTAATAGAAACAAATTCGGACCATCTGTGTTCTGTAATAGGAAATTCTCAGTAAAAGTTATCTAGTACAGCTCTACAGCTCTAGCAAATTAAAGATCACAATAAATATATGCATTATAACAATGAGTTTGTCCTGAGAAAGACATTTTGGAGTGTTTTTTGCTAAGAATAATATTCAAGGGACTTTTCAGTCAAGAGCAGTGATCCAGTGTAATCTTTTGAAAGATTTAATGGCAGACTTAGAAGATGCCTAAGTCATAGAACTTATGACTTATGTCAAACTCAGCAGATAGAAAGAGCCTATTCCCATAGAGTATGGATAGGAAATATAATTATTTGTATGGGCTAGGAAAATGCAAACAGGTGCTGACATTTGTGGACTAGATGGCATCATTGACACACGTGGAAATGGCTTATTTAGAGGCAACCAAGACAAGTTTGTAACACTCTTCCGTAGCCTTGTAGTGGCAGGACCACCATTTCTCTTCTGGAAACTGACTTACAAAGCAGTGCAGAAAGAATAAAACAAACCGTGCTTGCATATAAAAGAGTTTCATACGTCTCTTTAAGATGTTTGGGCGTAGAGAGAAACGGTTGTGGGCAGCAGCCATTACCTTTCTTGATGTTATTGTTTTTTGTTAATACTATCTTTAGATCAACTACAAAGGAAACAAATTCCTCTCAGATTGTAGACCCTTCAAATAAACATGAAATCTGAACTTCGAATCTCAAAACAAGTTTTACACCTCTGGGGAATTGAGTTTTGTCTTTGAGGAAAAAGCTCTGAGAACCACTGAGGTGGTTGAGAATGTGCAGGGAGTTCGGAAGGACAGAAGAAAAAGTGGGTCAGCTGTGAGGACATCACCTTGGGGCAAGTCAGCAGCTGTCAGCAAACTAAAAAATTGTAAGACTGCAGATCAAAGAAAGTAACTGTAGATTTGCCAAAAACAGGGGGCAGAGGAAAGTTGAGCGTTCTCAGCAGAGCATGCTTCAAGTATGTAAGAGTTTCTCAGAAAAACAGAAAAAAAGCTATAGAAGTGCTGGTGAGAGATGATTTTAAGTGACTAAGAGATGGCACGACAAAACATTTCTGTCAGTCCCAGGAAACTTCTTCTGTGTAATTATAAACAGAATCCCTACTGTGATCAGCAGTGGGCTTGAAAACTAGAAGAATTTTCATGTCCCATTTAGTCTTACTTAGTTTGATATGACATGTCAGTGCAACAAGTGGCAGTTGCCAGTTATCCTAATTTTTATTACATTTCAGAAAGCTCTTGGCAGCAAAGTCTATGTAGCTGATCTATAAAAACATGGATATCCCTGCAAAATAGTCCAACTCCCAGAATTTTACTCGAAATATCGAATACAAATGTCATCTCTGAGCAGGAACTAGCTGTTACGTTCCTATCCTCTGGATAGCTTTTTGATGAGTTTATTTAATCTTTTATAATTGCGGTGACATGCCTCTGTGATATAATGACTTGAATGGATAAGACAAGGACTGTTTTCCCTGGTATGGATGTTTAAATTGATTAGCCTCAAGTTGTGAACCTTTTAAGAACCCCCACGCTTGTTTACATACAAGAACATTAAGTAACAGATGTTATCAGCTTACCAAATGGCTATTTGAGTAGGTTATTCAAGGCAAAATAGTATTCTCCAAGAATAAGGTCTTAAGGAAGGTACTGTTGACCACAGCCCTAAAGAGAAGAGGGACTCAGAGTGGCCACCGTTGAAGGAAGATGAATAACAGGCTCCTGACAGAAGCCCTCTCCAGGCAGAAGGGAAAGGAGTTGCCTTAAAGGATTATACTAAGGATCAGTTAAACAGACTGATCCAGGATCAGATGTGCTGGTGAAAACATGCCTCTATGAGATGTTTGTGATGATGTCAGAAGCACTTTGGGATCAGTATTGGGTTTGACACTGTAAATATAACCACTACTTAGTTCTTGCTTTTATTCAGCTGTACTTATTTCAGCTGACTAACCAGCTGACTGCTCAAGCTTTGCAAAAAGGAATTATACTTAATTTGCAGGTAGATATGTTTAAATTGCAGGAAAATGTTTATTGTAAGCAGACCGCAATGCTTCTGTTCTACTAGTAGAAGTTATGCTGGTTGTGTTATGAGAGGGATTTCTTGGTGTTAGATTTTAATTTCCTGCTTGGATCAAAAAATGGAGCAGCTCTGTCAGGGAGACTGGAAGGTAGCAGACTTTTCTCTCAAATTCTGCTTCTCCCTTTTTTCCTAGCTTTACTACTGAGACAGATAATAGAGGCTTAGGTTCAGATAAACTGCCAAAAGTGCAGATATTCTTACCTGTTGTGCATGCCTAATGATTTGTTGTCATAAATTAACTATGTTGATTCTCCCTGCAGATAGGTGGTTTTGGCACAGAAATCACTCACTGCTTTGTAATGTTTGCTAATACAACCTCTGGCAATATGAAATTATGGGTTGGGATGGTTTTGGTTTTGTTTTGCTTAGGTCATACACTGATACTCTGCAGTCATTGTGGAGGCCAAGCTAAGTCCAACTGGCCGTGCAACCAGGTTGCGTAGTAGTGCTGTTAAGCAGCTTCTGCTATCATATTTAGTATATTTTTGTACGTTCTGTTTAGTGCAGCCTGGCGTTAGCAGGGAATCTGGATCTCTCTCTCTTGATTGCAGCATGCATGCTTTTTTTCCTTCAGTCACAGGCATATCACTCATTAACGGTAATGAAATAGAGACCTTTTAAGGGTGAAAAATAGTCCCGGTATCGTACAACCCCAGCTTTAGATTTTTTGTTTCATCTAGAAATGAGATGCTGTAAATGACAAATCCAGATTTTCTGAGATTGATGTGCTTGCATGCCTGTGAGAAGAATATGTTGTAGAGAAGGGACTTTAAGCCACACTTGCTAGGATTTGAGCCTGCTATCTAAGCAGGATTTGCTACAGTAGAAGCAGGCAATGAAGAAATATATGTGACTACAAGGAACAATTGAATACCTTTTGAGCTCCTGCTGTCAGAGCTACCCTAACGGTGTATGACTTACTGTGTATAATTGCTGTTCCAAGTTCAGCAAGAGGTATGATGTATTCCAGGGCTGAAGCATGGTTAGCCCAGTGCACTGTATTTCTTAATCAACTTGTTTCCTGTATTGTCATGTGCATATCTACCGTATTAATAGAATGCTGGTGCATGGTACAACTTATTTATGCAAAGACTTTTTTTTTTTTTAATGTGAGGGATATATTATAATTTTTATAATTGGAATTGTTCCTTGGAAGCAGGTGAGATTTGTAAAACCATGAGGGACACCGAGTGCCTGCAGTCAGTGCAGGCGTCAATGCTGGCATTGACTGAGCCCCACTTCTGCTACTCAGTTGCCCTTGGAAACCCCACTGTTTTTTCTCTCTTACTTTTAAGCACTCCCAGTCCTACTTGCTATATTCTCCTCTTATTCCCTGCCCTATCAGTTTCATTTCAGCTTAATGCTAGTAAACTTACTTCTTGATGGGCTATTTCAAACTGACGTTCATGGTGCCAGGTCATGCTTAAATTCTATTGACAGTTTTTTTGGTTTTTTTTTTTTTTTTGTTCCTCCCATTCAAGTATCAGAAAGGGAGATTTAACTAGACTGCAGCTTGCTGGGGTTACTTCCTATATTTTTGCAGATATCCAGTTTTGTCTCACCTGATGAAAAGCTGTAGTTTGCATCAGCTTTCTAAAAACACTGTTGGGATCTGCTGTTAAGTGGATCTCTTGTTCATGGTGGGGGCAGCACTTGATCTGATCAAGTCAAGAGGGTCCTGGGCTTCAGCAGTCTAAATAAACTTCACTTGTTCTAATTGTTCTAATTTGTAGGCTTCCAGAGGTGAGAATGTGCCCTGAAATAAAGTGGGATATTGCAGTTCTTCAGCAGTGAGATTAAGACACTTAAGAATATCCAGGACCTTTAGTAAGATGGTGAGAGACAGACCTCCGTAGCTTTGATCTGCTGTTTAACCACCACCACCTTGCGTCTGAGTTGTCAAACTGATGTTTGCTTGGGTTTGGCTGCATTTTGAGCAATGCTACCACAGTATATTGGGATTGAAATATGTCTAACGTAGGGAACATCTCATATATGCATTAGAGATTTTCACAAGAAAAGCTCCAAATAAGTTTTATTTTAAGGATGCTGGGCTCCTGTAAAATTGTGTAAATATTTTTATTGGAAAAATATTTAAAATACTGCTTATATGAGAGAGAACCTTATAAGATAGGTAATTAGGTTGTAGATATGAGACTTTTTAATTGATTCTTTACTGCTTGATCTCTGGCCTTCTTGGAAGGATCAGCAAGGTTTATCAATTACTTTCAGAAGAGGGTTTTTAATTTTAAAATCACAAGTCTGGCCATATTGAGTCATATCACGGGCCTCTCTAGCCCAGTATCCTGTCCCGAACTGGCCAAGAGTGAATGTGCAGGGTAGAGGATGAGGGAAAGCATATAGCAATGACTCCTCAGAATACTCTTACCACCTTCAGAGATCTGTTAATTGGAGGCTTAGCTAAAGATGGGATCTTTGTGTGTGAGAGAGCTTGATGGATGGATTTTTTTTTTTTATGAATTTGTCAAGACTCTTTTTGAATCCATTTAAGCTTTTAGCGTCTACAGCTCCTCAACAAGGAGCAGCTTAACAACTTGTATGAGTTACCACTTAATTTTGTTTGCTCTGAGTTTACCTCCTGATAAATATGTGAACAAGACAGAGACATTTGATATAAGAAAACTGTGCCAGATTAATAGGTTGCAAGATCAGGCCCTGCACTGAAATAATTCTCTTACAGACTTTCCTCCTAAGCTTATTTCAGTGCCTATTGCAGTCACGCTCCTCAGCTGGATTTTCATGTTAGCTGAATAATTACTACTACATTGCATCAGTTTTCTTGCTAGCAGCCTTAAAAACGAAGAAACCACGTAGCCATGTGTGTTATTGACTGGAGCTGCCTTGATGCCAAGTAGAAGGCGAAACTATCAGAGCAGTGTGTCAGAATGTTTAGTGTGGCATGTTAGCCTGCTTGAGCATGGTGTTTTTGTTGGTTTTTGTTTGTTTTTTTTTTTAAAAGGCCAAGACCAGATTTATAAAACTTCTAAGACTCTCCAGGATGCGCTGGAAGAGACAGCAGTGGGCAAGAGCTGATTTCACACTTCCTCACGCTGAGATTGGCCAAGGGACAGGGTTTGGTCCTGTTGTTGTCATTATTGTTTCTTTCTCACAGCTGCTTTCATCATGCTTCACATCCTTGTTCTAGGAAGCTAGTTTTAGAGTATCTTAGGCTTGCTCAGCTCTTTGTGCTTCTTGGGAGAGAGATACAATCTTTTCCTGTCAAATTGTCTTTTCCTATAGAAAATGTGCTCTCTGTAAGTTTTTTGTCTTCTTAGTCACTGTCTTCAAGTTACATACATTTATGTTGCACAGTCTGTATCTCTTAAAGCTAGTAGATAAGCAGATATTTCAGAGTTCATAACTTTTGATCGCCATTTGAGTCGAGAAGAGCTTTACTGACGATTAAGAGCACTATAATCCTGCCATCTCTCCTTCAGTCCCCCGTTAGCACAGCTTAACACTTAATGTGTAGAAAAGATGCCTGCTCTATGGTGTTTGTTGGGGAAGAGACCACAGTGCCTCTCCTCTCCCCCACTGACCCACCTTCGTCACCTCGCTTCTGTACCTGCAGTAGCAAGCAAAGTCAGCCCCCAGCTGGGGGCCGGCCACAGGCTTAGATGCTAGCCAAACCATCTTTAACCTCTATTTTAATAATTGAGGTGGAATTAAAGTAATGTATAAGTTGAAAGCATAATATAGTTGTTTGTTTCTTCCACAAAGGTAATTTTCACCCCTTCTTTTGCTGTTTCTCAGTGACACTTCCAGAGATCTTGGTTAGCGTGTGTTACATCTCGCTAAGGGTGTAGACATGCATCAGTGTTACTCTGGTAAACCATCACTGGCCTGAGCAGTAATAGTGCTGCCTCAGAACCAATTTTTCATATGTTACCACTGCTTTGTCTTGCTACTGTGATCTAGAACAGCTTGAAATTTGTCTCGGGCTGTAATTAAATTGGCTTTTGGTTTGGCTCCATCACTCTGGCTATACCAAGCAGAACGTATCAGTAAACTTTGTTCTGTAATTTCATATTGCCAACTGGCTGCTGTTTGTGGTTGTGCCCCAGGAGAATAATTTCCTTATCAGAATCTTAAATGCAAGAGATGACTCGTTTGTCCCACTGTAACTGAGATTTTGTTCTGTTTCAAAGGCAGTGAAACTTCCTGTGATGACTTCTTTGAATGACAAACATTTTGTCTTTGAACAGAATAGAAAAGGGAAGTGGATTAGAGCACCAGAAAAAGCACTTCTATCTTGCCAAGGTTTGGACATCAGGTCTCATGCTCTACCCTTCCTCTAAAATTATTCCTTAGGATTACTTTTCCACCGCTAATCACTGCAATGAGATCTCATTATGTGGATGCATCACTAGTACATGCATCCCATCCAATACTCTTTAGATGTTTTGCTTCAAAGTGGAAATTAGAGCATAACTGACTCTTTCTGTGGAAAACTCCCAAACTTCTCTCTCTCTCTTTGTTGTTCCTAAAACCTCACCTTCTGGATTTTCAGCTGCCTTTGTATCCCCTGCAAGCCAGAGCCTGCATTGTGCTGTGATTGTCCTTATGGAGTAATGCCTAGCGAAGATTTGTAAGAGTAGGGAGGGCATCCCTGCCTCTGCTCCTGTAAATGCTGGGGTTTTTCATATTCTCATAGTGTTGAAGGTTTAGGACAGTCTGTGGATAAATGACTTCTCTTTAAATAACAGATGAAAAACCGAGCAAATCATTCTATGTAGTATGTGAATGCCGTGATTTTGGACTTAGAAGTAGTTTTGTTGGGCATGTCTCTCCTGTGCAGCGTGCCATGATGTGCGGGGAGGGTGCGCATACAATATGTGCAAGCTCACTGGTAGCTTGGGGTTGTTCAGGTCAGCTCTTCCGGCCATAGCATAAAGGAGCCTGGGAATGTCACTAGACTTGCTCTTTAGGAATAAGAAGCACATACGGTGTGCTGCCAAGCACAGCAAGTACTTTCTCGTTGGAGAGCTTTCCAGTTTGCTTATTGCCTTCAACACCTGGAGACGGAAAGAGTTGCTACCCCCCACAAATACTGGACTCTTTCTCTGAGAACTGAGAGCATTTTGAAGCATCTTTTCTTCTGAAATGTCTTTAAGAATCAGTTTCTTCTTCTCTCTGTTATCATTTTGATTGTACTCCAGCAGATCAGTTGGAGTGTGTGAACATTTCTCAGTAGCCCTCTTACAGCATTAGTCTGCTGCTAGATTCTTTCAGGTAGTTGTCCTCTGTTTTTTAGAATGAGATCTTCTTTTGAGATGTTAGTCGTGTTTTGTTTGATCGTCCTTTGTATGTCTTGCACTTTGTGGTGTATTTCTATCTACAGCTTCCTTGTGCACACTGCATGCTGGCCACTTTTTATCCTTCCTTTTCAGTCCTTTTATTATTAGGAAGTGGCCTCTTTTTTTTCCTCTCCATTCTATCTCATAATTTTCTGGTGATTTTTCTTTTTTGGCATGAAGAAGCGTGATGATTGAATGACTGGCTCTAGTCTTTTTCTCTAATTTGGTATGTATTTTTTTAACCTGATTTTAACTTTGCAGTCAGAGCACTGCAGTGACAATCATTTTTAGGAAGGAAAATATGGAATATTCTTGGGAAAGGATGACAGAACTGCCAAGAAAACTTAATAAAAATTCATGCAGTCTGGACTATTTCCAAGGCCAAAAATTGTCTTACAGGAAGAGACAAAATGCCTAAGGAAGGTCTTTTATTAGTCCTGTTCCAATTTATTTGCTTCCAGGGAAGTGGAGTTAATGTGTATCTGAAAATTATTTCTGTGGCAGAATTAAATCAAAGAATAAAAACCCCAAATTAATGTCATATTAGGCTATCTGGAACTCCCTATAGAGGCAAGGGCTGAGACAGAGTACAAACACCATAGGAATAAGGTATCTTTCTGTATTTTAACATGATAATTTTAGCAGTATGTGTTACACGAAGGACTAATCTGCATATGGCTGAAGCCCCTTCTAACCATCCCCATCATCTTTGCTTGGCTGTTCATTACGGTGGTAGTATCTGGCTCTCTAAAGGCCCTTCTACCCTATTCAGATGCTTTTAGGCTTATTGAATGCAATACCTGGCAAACCTGTCTGATTTGTGTTGGATGTCATCTGGTGAAAACCATAAAAACTGCCAATGCAGCAGCTGCTCTGTTAAAGCCTGGTTACAATTACAGCTCTTGCAGCATAATCTGGCATTAGAGTCTCTTTAACTCGTTAGCTGTGAGGCTCAAGAGCACTGGACTCCTGCATGGTATAGCCAGTAATTTGTCACCCTTTCAGTTTTTGCTGCTGACTTGAAGCATGGTTGCGTCCGCCAAGTCTATGCATGGAGTGAGCTCAGGTGTTTGCAAGGTGAGTTTGCCTTCTTGCCTAAGAGACTGTTTCTGATTAAGTCATGAGCAAGACCTGTGGAGATGTAGCATGCACTTCTGCCATAACCTGCACTAATTTTGTAATTCCTTCCTCCTTCCACGTTTTCCACAGATAAATGGCTCATTTAAACTGGGAGCTACTAAAATACTCTCTGGCTGGCAAATGCAGTGCCTAGCAGCGGTCATCAAGGACGAACCAAACATGAGTGGAGGAGGGGAACAGGTCGACATCCTGCCGGCCAATTATGTAGTCAAAGATCGTTGGAAAGTGGTGAGTAGCTCTGGCTTTATGCTTCCTTTGGTGCTCTAAACAGATCTCTTCCTCCTGTAGTCATACAAAAACTTGTCTATTTAACCCTGGGCTCCAGCAAGCAACAGGGGGGTGGTCTGGTTTAGCATGTTAGTCAGCTACTGCAAGAAGATGGTCAATATTGCTCTAGTGTTTTTTAGACTCTTTGGTATTTTTAGAAGACTCAGCCAGCCAGGGATTTTTAGGTAGGATTGAACTGTTGCAGCTGACTGAGTCATCTTTGAGTAGGAAACTTAGATTTAAAGCTACTGCAGCAAAGAATATTAGAGATGTGCCTATAAATAATTTACATTAAAATAAAACAAGTTTTAAGCAAATGTTTAAGGTTGTAACATCAGCCGCTCCAAAAGTCAGGATTTCCATGATTAAGATTGCTGATACAATTTCTATGTAAATTTATGGTGATACCTTTTTTAAATTACGTCATTATACGTTAAGAGTTTAAGTTCTTTACGGGACAACTGCCTCATTCAGTGTGCAGGCTGGATGGGGTCCTTGAATTAGTAACCGTTTCATCCTTGATGTATTCATTGTGTGGCTGAAGGTCTCACTGTCCATTTAAATTCATGGCATGAATTTGCCATTTAAAATCATTTTTCTGTTTTCATTGCTGTAGTATCTGTGTCAGAAATACTGATTTTTTTTTTTTTTTTTTTACTCTTATTGATGCTTTTACCAGGGAATGTAAGAGAGAATGATCAACTTTCTTTTACAGATAGGATCTCAAATTAGTTAGGTCTTTTATTTCATTTTATTTTTTGGACTGCTTAATATTTATGACCAAAGCAGAACTCCACTGGACTTCATGAGTGTCTAAGCATGCTTGGAACTTCCACGGTTTGGGCCTGGCCTTTTGCCTCAGGCATCTAGCAGATGAGGAGCATGAGATTAACGACTGCTTGTGAGCAGCCAGAGTTCAGCTGCTTGACCAGAATCATGTAGGAACACTATGGTAGAGCCATGGGGAGAATCTGGTCCTCTAGACATGTTTCATTGCCACCAGATTTGTTCAGAGAGTGTGGTTCCCCTTATGTAGAAGATTGTTTCTTTATTCATAAAGTGAGGTTCCCTGGGAGGGGAGGAAAGTGGCATTATAGTATCACTTCAGTTAAAGACTCTAGAATATAATGTATAAAAGGATCACATTAAGTTTACAGTGTAAGTTATGTATATGCTTCTCTAAGTGTTATTGTTTTCTGATTTTTTTGGCTTTGCTTTAAAAAAAAAAAAAAAGGGAAAAAAATTATCTATTCCATTTTGTCTGTCTTTAATTTGGATTCCTAGCAGTGCCTGAATCATTAACTCGCAGCACAGACCTCTCCTGATTGAACTGCCAGTGATTTGTAGTAGTAGCAGTAGGTTGTCTTTCTGTACTGACTAGCTATAGTACAACTGCCCCATGAGTTCTGCAGTGGGCTGTGAAGAGCAGAGGACTAAAGAGACTCAGAACTTTAAACTCTCTTCAGTTTCCGGGTGGTAGATAGGATTATTTTCAACAGCCTGCTTCAGACAACGTATCATCCTTTCCCTTGACTTACCACATGCCTGTATCACTTTGATGCTCCAGGGCAGTGCACCTTGCTCTGTTTCTCCTCCTTTGTCCCCCATTGCTTGCCTCTCTTTAGCGTAGTGTTTTGCTCCTGCTTTCTCCATAGCCTTCACTTTTCTGCTTGGCCTATCCTTTTTTAAATTATTATTATTTTTTCCTTCCAGACTATTTATATGTAAGAACTCAAGCTGCTCCTCTTTCTCCATGCTTCCTGAGAGCAGATGGAGAATCTCTATTTTCTCTGTGATTAGACACCAAAGCTAAGACCCCCCCAGAAGCTGTCTGGAACAATTTCAGGGAAGTCTTGCTGTGCTCTTGCAGCTCTGGGCTGGACCACATATACTTGTTTTGGGAGGGTGATGCATGTGCAATTTAATTGACGTACAGGACTCGAAATATGCTTTGTACTTATGGACTTCTAAAATCCTGCTTCCAGCTTTTAGCTGGTTCTCCCTGGGCACAAACTGAGATTTTTCTCACGCCTACAATTTGGTCAGATTGGTGCGCGTTCCTTACAAAGCTGAAGTTGGACACGTTCCTACTGCCAAGCCATTGCTTTAGATGCATGGGTGCAGATACTACCAGCCAGCCATGGGGAAGAGCCGGGAGGGAGAGAGAGCATTAGTCTTTGTTAATGCTAATTTGTATAGTGCACGCGCTTGTAGCGGTGCCACTGTGCAACTTCTCACATTCTTTCCCATCCCTCTGTATCCTAGTTAGATTTGGCCTGTACCTGTTCATGCTGTTCATCAAGCTTGAAGTTTCTCTTCCATAGGCAGGAGTGCTAAAACTTCTCCGTTAAAGGAGCGGGAATAGTTCTGGTTTATATTCTGGTGGAAGTAATTCTTTTAACACAGTCTAAACAAAGTAACTTTGTTCCTGGAAACACCAGAACTCTTAAAAGCCCTGAAAACCCCTAAAATTTGCTCAGTTATGCTCATGGGCAAATCTTTTGAAGTGATTTTAAATTTCATAAGGGCAGTGAACGTGGTGATTCAGTGATTCAGATTCAAGTGATTCAATTGTCATGCAGTTCTGATTCTGGGGGCTGCTAGAAACTCTACCCATTAACCCTCCCCCCCTTAGGAAATACAGAAATGCGTAGCTATATTGCTAGCAATAACTGACTCTAACTGGAGAAATAGCCTTCTATGTTTTCTAATGTTGGTTCACTGCAGTCTTCAATACTGCAGTGAGGTCATCAAATATTACCTCACTTGGAGGCCCTGAAAAATTGCAGGGGTCTAAATAGTGAGGAGAAATTCTGATTCCCAACTCTACTTATAACGTCTATGCTAGCTGAATTGTGTGTTGAGAGCCATCACTGCAAGGTCACTTCTGCGCCCTGAAAAGCGCCCACCCTTTGGGCAGGCATTCTGTGCTGCTCCCTTGCTGTGCCAGTGCAGATGTTGGTGTGGCCATGAAACGGTCAAAATTGGGAACTGAACAGGGTTAAAAGTAATCTGGCAGAAATGTAAAAATACTTATGCTGGCCAAAAGAAATGAATAATTAAGGAGCGCTCCCTCTTTCATCTGTCACTCGCTCCTACGAGCGAGCATAGCATTGTGGCATCAGTATTAGCAGGGAATCTGTCTCTTTTTTCTTTATCGTAGACCTTTTTGAATCTAACTGACAGCATGCAAGTTGGACAGCCTGAGCTTTGCTATGAGTTATGGGTCCTGCTCGAGCAGGTGTGTGGCGTATTTAGATGGAGCTGGGGTTCAGTTGCCAGAAGGCTCTTTGTGTAGTTTGTCCTCCCATTGTAACAATCTGTGGCTGGGCTGGGCATCCACTTGAACCTTGTAGTTCTTAGGCCTGGCGTGCTTCCAATGTAGAGCCAATTTCTAATTTTAGATCAGTTTAATCTATTCCTTAGGCTCCTTTCCTCCTCTCCTTCCATATGCTGACTGACAGAGTTTTGACAAATGAAGATGTTGGTTATCTGCATTTAGCCTGGTGATAGTTCAATTTTCTGTCGCTCCCAAGGTGTGTGAAGTCTGGCTGACTGACAGCAATGTGGGGTATTTTTTTGTTTTGCTCTCTTTTTTAGAATGGCATGGACTGGGAGTGTTATGCTTTTTATCAAAGCTGTCAGACCTGAAAGAATAGTCTTTTGAGCCTCATTCTTTACTTGTAAATGTTTTCGATGCTTTGACCAGATGAAATTTGGAACCATGCAACTTTTTTGGAGCCCCCAGGGATGACTTCATACACATCTGCTCTGAATGATATGGACGACTTTCTTCAGGGAAGGGAACTAAGTCAAGCATAACTTGTACTTGCTTTGAACTGTGTATCGCTATTAATGCTGAACGGATGGCTCTCTTCATCTCTCCCAATCTCTCTGTGTTGGGGATTCACAACTGAGACTTGCTAGCAAGACAGAGTTGGCAGCTCCTGCATTGCACGTGAATACAAGTGGTTACTTTTACACACATGTACATAGTGTGTCAGGAGCAGGTTCTCGTTCCTTCCAAATGACTGAAGTTCTTGAACTGAAGTTCTGGTTACACTTGTCCCTGTGCTATTTATTTTAGACACCTTGCTAGAAGCCCCACAAAGTCTTGTGGACTCTTCCTTTGCCTTGTCTTGGTCACAAAGGGCATTTATGGTTCCAAGAGGAGACTTGGGACAAGGGAGATACTTTGTCAGTCTTGGGGCTTGTTGCGATCTCTCCTTACTCTGTACAGAATTGCTCTGAGTGGACTTTTGCCAGGTCCTCAAATGATATGAGTTTGACTGGTTTACTTCTCCTTGATAGGCTTCCCAGTTCATGCCTGTTTTACGTTAGTTGTTCCTTGAGCGGAGTGGACTCTGAGAGTCTGGTGTAAATAGGTCCACTCTTCCTTAGCTTTTGTGAAGTTAGATGAGGCCTGCTAGCCAGCTGTGGATGAACTAGCCCATTGAGTTGGGCTGCAGGAGTTGCAGACTTGACTATACAAGTGCCTCTATAGCCGATCACAGTATTTACTCTTTGATATTGTCAGCATTTGAAGCCTGGAGATGACAGCTTTGATTCTGGCTGGGTTCACTCGTAGGTCGCTGGCTCTCGGTTTGGTCCTTTCACTCTGAATTCAGGACACACGTTCTGGTTCCAGACCTTGCTGCCAGTCCTGGGACTGACTGAACCACTCATGCCTTGGTCCCAGAGAATTTTCTTGAGAAAGTCTCATCTTTATGTAATGCCCTTGGATGGGCAGAGTTTGTGTTTAGAACAGCTGTGTCTTATATACTTCCTGAGTAAAAGATTTAATTTGTAGCGGAGGGATATTTTGGTTGGGGTTTGGGGGAAATTTGGCTTGGTTTTTTTGAACTGCTCCTGGGTGGAACAGTGCAATTTCCATTTTCTTGATGGACCTGCATTTTATCTTTTAGAGTAGCATTTCTTACTTGGTGGCTCTAAACTCTGGAATATTGTGCTGCAGGAACCAAATTATTTCCAGGATATTTGAGCAAACTAGAGACTTCAAAGGGCGCTGGCTGCGCCCTGCATAACTGCCAAAATGTCTGGAGGGGTTTTTGGTAGTGGCTTCCTCCATCAGGGCATGGTGGTTGTTTTGCATTGGTATCTGGTAGTCCTGAGGGACAGTCCAGTTTTCAGAGTTCCCAGAATCCCCTAGTCAGAGACTGCCACACCAAGGAATCAAGTAGAGTAACTTTTTAGTAACTGTTTGCTCCAAGGGACTGATGTGGCTGCCTAGGAGAAAGCGGAAGAAGAGCTGCAATGAGCTATAAGGTGGTGTGGCCACTGTTGAGGTGCTGGAAGGACTGAAAGCACTTTTGAGATGCAGCTTAATTTAGTTGCCTACATGGGAGTGGAAAGAGATACCTGTGTTTGATGAGATGGAAATGTTCTCCTGACTGTATGGACTGTAATGGAAACCTGGACACCCAGCTTGCATATAGACTCGTGTGTTTAAGTAGGATGAATCCTGACAGTGGCATCAGTCTGTATCTCAGTCTTAGCAGATTATGGACTGGTGGAAAGTGGGGAACGGAATGAGAAGAGAATAATTCCCTGAACAGTGCGACATAACATGCAATGGTGACTCCCAATTAGCACTTAGATAGTTTTCATTAGATTTTTCCCTTCTCTTTCTTGTCCCTGAATTTAAGTTTCCTTATTCGTTTTTTTCTCTTGAGTGATATATGCCCGTCTCTCCTTTGGGACCAGTGAAAGGCTGTGCTGAGTTCACCTTAGCAAACTCCCACAGAGTACCCAAGCAATGAGGACATGCCTGCATGGCAACTCAAGGCCTTGACTGAGGTCAGGAGCTTACGAGTTAACTAACTTCTGTACTAAAGAAAAGAATATGGCTGCTGAGGACCTCTGGATGTTGCTGAAAGATGAAAAATTGCATCTGTCTATATGCATGTGTTGATATGTACATACGCTGTCAAGTCTTAGCTGAAGGAGAATCAAGGGATCATCTTCCAGGAAAGGCAAAGGATCTCAGCTTGCTCTGAGTGGGTAACTACTCTAGTACAGGCAAATGATCTCTGCAGTAGGTGCTTGTGTATGTTGAAACATAGAAGTCTTTAGCTTTGAGTTTATGTCAATTGCAATTGCTTCTGTTTCCAAGTAGTAGTATCCTCCTGTTCTGATAGAGCCTTATTTTTTTTCACAGACACAGAAAGCTTCATTTGGTGTTTTTTTTTTTTCCTTTCTTTTTTATGCGAGAGAGAGAGAGCTGAGCTGTGCCCGTGGCTTTTAAACAAGTGTAGCTGGCAGCTCTCTGAAATGTGACACTGAACCAGCCTCACTAGCAAAGCAGATCAAGCATCTTGTAAAATATTCCAGCAGATATTTTGTTCTGTATTTAATAATCTGTGAATGAGACTTAAACTTCAGTGAACTCACTTTTTGCAGGCATTATTCCCCACTACCTTGATTATATTCTGCTGCAGAGATTGGAGGGTGAGGGAGGGTGGATGACAGTTTTTATCTATCTTCTTTTTTATTATCTTCTTGAATTTTGGCAACGTGATCATTAGTGTGGTAGGCATTGTCATTTTCTTTTACGTTTATCACATCGTCACTTGTTGGACTTGTTCTCTGTGGTACAGGAAAGAGTTTATACGTAGTACCGTCAAGTAGCAGCTGCACTTTTGCCTAATTGTGCAGTGAAGGGATTCAGGCACAGCACAGAAAAGACTTGAGAGCTGAGTTCTTCCTCCCCATGCAGCAAAGAATCTAGAGCCTGGCTCTCTGAGGACTAACTTGATGGCATCTCTCTCGTGCATTGTACCAAACTTCCTTGTACTATTCTAGTTGAAGAAGATTGGTGGCGGTGGCTTTGGGGAGATTTATGAGGCAATGGATCTGCTGACCCGTGAGAATGTGGCCTTGAAGGTGGAATCAGCCCAGCAGCCCAAGCAAGTTCTCAAGATGGAAGTGGCTGTCCTGAAAAAGCTGCAAGGTAAGGCAGAAAGGAACTAATAACCAGAGCTCTTTGTGGACTCTGAAATGGCATAGGTCACTGTGCATGTTAACTATGAGAATCCAAAGGTGCAAATGTGTGTGTGGGGGGGGGGGGGGGGGTTGTTATGACCTCTTCAGCTTCCATCTACTTGTGATGCTAATGTTAAATGGTTCAGCTCAGAATGTTAATAGTTCTACAGAGTGTCCTGCTCAAGTGAGCTCCTACGGTGGGGAATGTTTTTGTCTGCCAGCCTATGAGAACAGTGGCAAGACTTAACCTGAAAGACTGAACAGACTAGTGATGCTCATTAGATGGTAAGGAGTTGAGTGGGAGATGTCTAACTAAGAAATGAGGTTAGCTTATTGCCTCCCAAAGCACTAGGACAATGGTTGTGACTAAAGCACTGTGAGCACAAAGGAGTCTCCAAATAAAATGGTTGAGTAGTGAATAAAGACAAGTGGAAAAAGTGGATAACATGAAGGACAAGGGAACTGGCAATTAGCTCGTTTCTCATGTACCTGACTGCCTCGAGGTGTAAAGGGATTCTAGGTCTTTCAGGTTTGGGAGTGGTGGTATTGAATTATGTTAATCTGAATGGAACAGCTATCCTTAGTTTTACCTAAAACAGCTATGTATGGGTGCAGAAGTGAAAGTAGACTCAGGTACCATTAGTTTCTATAGATTCTGTTTTTCTCTGGCAAAGCTTTTAAGCAGACTTCAAGCTACCTGGGAAGCAGCAAAACGGGGGCCTTCCTTTAACGTGGGTCCCCTGCCTACTTCCACTGGAGAAACTACATTGAAGGGGGAGTTGCCTTATGCCACGGTTCTGTTTTCTGTTTGCTGTAATGAAACTATAAATGATGTTAAAGGTGAAGCTTTATGTGATGATCTTTAAAGTTTTTAAATTCACAGTCCTTCTCAGGAGTGAACCAGTAGAATAGGGTGAAAGGAGTCAGCCAGCATCTCAAAGGCTCTTGCAACATAACAGCATTTGTAGCAGTCCTTCGTGGTTGAAGCAGCAGTGTGGGGACTTCTGCTAAAAAACGATGGCTAAAGAGGATGGAAATGAGGAATTTCCAAATCTGCCATTGAGGAGCTGAGAACTGCCGTTTACTGAAGTGCATTCATTGTGCACTGATTTCCTTGTGAAAGCATGGCCAGCTCTGGGCAGATGCAGTTTACATATTTTAGTAGAATATGCTTTTGAAGGGATGTTCCCTTTTGCAGGATCCCACCAGAGCTGGGGAAACACCTCCTGAGGCAGTGGGTAGTATCCTTATCACCAGGGTTCATGCTTCAGAGGTGGCATCACGGCCCCATGTCCATGCCTCTACCTTGCCCTTGCATGACATCTCCAGAGGTGATTGAATTAAAGGGTGAAATAGTTGCAGGTCTTGGGAAAGCCATCTTTAGATGCTAAACCAAGCACTGCGTCTGCTGTAGATGCTAAACTGGGGCTGTGTGAGGTCCAGCGGTAGATGCTTTGAATTCAAAAAGATCCCCTTGTATTATGTTAGTCTGTCGTTTGGGGTTGAGGGGAGGAAGTGCTTCTACAATTAGAATTTGTTGGGGGTGTTTGCAGCTTGCAGGGATTGTGGATTTGGGATTGAGGGATTTCCTTTTCACACTGGAAGGTGTGTGAGTACGTACGTATGCGAGCGTGTGGGTGTGCGCTTATGGCATAATGGGCTGAGAACTCAGAGTCCATGTTTGCATTGCAGTGCAGATTCTGGAATGAAATCCCCTTGAGCTCAGATCCATGAACCATCTGCATTGTTGGCTTTGAATTCATCCTAAAAGTGCCATGATTGGAATGTAGGATGTTTAGGAGCCAAGACTTTGCAGCTGTGCATGAAACACCTGCTGATACATTCTGGCTGATCTGCATTATGCAGTACTGTTGCCTGGAGTGACCCGTGCATGTTCCATGAATCCATGTGGTGTGACTGGCACAACTTGCTTTCTTACTTTGTCTCCAGTCCTAGCACCTCTGTGCATGGAGCATCCCTTTAAAAGCTATTGCAGAAGCAAGGAGTGTAGCTGTCATGTGCCATATGGCTCCCCAGGAACTGGGCCAACCCAGTCCAATAGATAGGTGTTAGATTTCTAAAGCTGTACAGTTTTATTCCTATGGCTGTGGACAGAGTTGCATATGATTCCTATGCATGTTTACAGGTCTGAGATTGCGAGGAAATGGTATTACTCATAATAAAAGGATGTGTCTGTTGAATGTTGTTATGGAAATACACGTTCTAGTTGTGGTTTTGGCACAGCTGGGCAAGCCAGTGACCCAGTAGTACAGTGGTGATTTGTGGGATGCTGCAAATGTTGACCAAGAAGGAGCAGTTGGATGGTATGTGGCCGTGTAGACTTTTCTAAGGGTGATGATTACGGCACACTTTGCTAAACTGCTCTGGCATGGATTGATATAAGTCTGATTTGGTCAAGACAACTCATTCCCTTCTGGACTGGGCAGGGGTCTGGGAATATTGTGCTGCTGCCTTCAAGTCTGCATGAGCTCGTGGCAATTCCTATGTTGGTCAGTCCATATCTGGAGCCCAGTGTGGTCTGAACACTCAGTAATGTAGACCTAGTCTCTTTTCTCCTTTCACTGTCAAGAAAGTCAGTTGCATTCAGTATGTTGGAGACGGGCTGGATGTGTCTTGTTGCTGCAGTTGTCCATGATATTGCAGCTCTGTGCATAGATCAGCTGACCGTGATAGTGATGTGGTGTAGTGATGTTTTTACTTCTGCCTTCAGCTAGGACTTAACGGAGTTTCCTGCTCCCCTCTCCTCCTCATGCAAAATATGACTTAAGATTTTTGCAGCATATGGCTGCAGTGCAAGACCCAGGTGATCACACAAGGAGAGTAGCAGAAAGACACTCGTACGTAGGGCAGCGGGATATGTGGTACTGTGTGTGCAGCACAGATGATTTAGCATTATCCCTCTCCTTACCCTCTTCTTGATGACTCTTTATGGGAACGCTTGGAGGGCTTGTGAGATTAGGATGGGGCAAAAGGATCACTCACGAGGCACATGCTTTGGTTGTCCCTGTGGTAGTTTAAGGCCTGGTCTAAGGCTGCAATATGGATGTGGCCACAGTATTCAGATGCCTTTGCTGGGATCATCCTTGGGGCAGCCTGCCTGACCAGTTAGATTGTTAGATTGGCCAGACTGTTCTGGTGCTGAGCACTGTTTCTGTGGGCTCACCATGGCAGGTCTGGCCTAGTTTGAGGCTGGGCAGCCCTGTATACTTCCCCTTGGCCTCATTCGGCAGCCAGAGTGTTCCCACATTCTGCTCAGTATGACGTTTTCCTAGTAAACACCTTCTTCTCAGTGTAGCCAATCTTATTGCATAGGACTAATTTTATTCTGCAGTGCAGAGATGTTCTGCATATTGAGTGGTTGTACGAGATGCAGCCTGGCTGCAAGCATTGTAGTTTTTGAGCACCTGATCTTATTATAGCAGATAGTGAGGCAGTTTAGTGTTGCCTGTTTCCCATTTACTGCCAGACGTAAGGCAGGTAAGATTTTCCTAATAAAATAAGGGAAGCTCATGTACAGAGATGGATCAGAAAATAATTCTAGAATAGCTTTTAAAGACTAAATTCTGGAAACTCCTTTTTGTAGGAGTAAGGTGTTTTTTTGTATTCTGGTGGTTTTTTGCAGGTTGAAAAGGAGGAAATACAGTATCTGCTATTTAAAAAAAAAAACCGCAATAATAATGTCATGTATTTGTTCCTTAGTATTCATTTGATTAGATTCATTGCTGTCTTGAAAATACAGTAGGAATATTTGAGGACCTAAATTATTGAAAGATTAGAATGAGTGTTGGTTTCTAGCAATTTGAAACTGATTAGCGCAGAAAAATACACCCTAAAAAAATCATCACTGAATTTTTAAGGGCCGTGTAATGCAAGTTTTTCATGTACTGAAAGTTTTCAAGTATTAACTCTATTTTTTAATTATATCTCCACAATGTGACAAATGTACATCCTATGGTAGAAGGATTTTCCAGCTCCTGGGTGTTATTTTTATACAGAGGTCATGGTTACTGAACGTAATTTTAAAGTTCCTTCAGAATAAGGATGGTGAAGGCCATTTCAATGGCTGAAGTATTTATGTTTGTTACCAGATATTATACAGGAAGTTATTATCTTCCTTTTTAACTTAAAGGCAATGAAAAGAATATTTTTCTATGTGTGAACAGTGAAGCATTGCATCTAATTTATTAATTAAATGCTTGGAAGAATGAATGCATGTGAAAGAAAACAAATGTTCTTTGAAATTTTTCTCAGGTCAGTGTTTATTTAACATCAGGCTGACTTATTCCTCCAAGCTATCTTAAGAGGGAATAAGGCTGTTACCTTAGTTAACAGGCTAAAACACTTCACGAACTCTTGCTCCGTCTCACAGAACGGCCAAGGTTGGAAGGCACCTCTGGAGATCATCTAGTCCAGCCTCCCTGCTCAAGCAGGGGCCTCTAGAGCACACTGCTCTAGAGCAGTGTCCAGACGAGTTTTGAATATCTCCAGAGAAGGAGACTCCACAACCTCTCTGGGCAACCTGTGCCAGTGCTCTGTCACCCTCACAGGAAAGAAGTTTGTCCTCCTGTTCAGATGGACCCTCCTGTGTTTTAGTTTATGCCTGTTGCCTCTTGTCCTGTTGCTGGGCACCACTGAGAAGAGTCTGGCCCCATCCTCTTGACACCCCCACCTTCAGATACTTGTACACATTGATGAGATCGCCTCTCAGTCTTCTCTTCTCCAGACTGAACAGGCCCAGCTCTTGCAGCCTTTCTTCATAGATAATGAGGGGACTGGAGCATCTCTCCTTTCTAGCCATCCACTGAACTCTCTCCAGTAGTGCCATGTCCTGGGGAGCCCAGAACTGGACACAGAAGGGGAGGATCACCTCCCTCGACCTGCTGGCAACACCCTTCCTAACCCACCCCAGGATACTATTGGCCCTCCTGGCCCTAAGGGCAAATTGCT